CTCATGCTGGCTCAGGAATTCTGGGAGTTGAAGTCCACGAGTCATGAAGGGGCCAAAGTTTCCCTCATGCTGGCTCAGGAATTCTGGGAGTTGAAGTCCACGAGTCATGAAGGGGCCAAAGTTTCCCTCATGCTGGCTCAGGAATTCTGGGAGTTGAAGTCCACGAGTCATAAAAGAGCCAAGGTTGCCTACCCCTGGCCTATACCATTTCAGACAAGTGGCTGTCCAGGCTTTTTTAAAAAAAACCTCCAGTGATGAAGCACCCACAACATCTGAAGGCAACCGGGCGTTCCGTTTTCTGAAGATGGCAGTGTCCTTTGCAAAGGCTGCACTTACTTAAACATATTCTTAGTTTATTTGGCGTTCCCATATTCCACATTTCCTGCCTCGTTCTTCCTTTCCCGGAAACTAGCTTTGACACAACCCAACATCCTCCCGTTGTGCTGACTATAATCTCCATTGTCCCCAGCTAAAGTTGGGAAGTGAAAGGCAGTGATTCAGACCATTCCCATTCCAATGCAGTTAACCAGGCTAGAAACTAGGAAACTGAGTTCTAATCCTGCCTTAGGCGTGAAAGCGGGCTGGGTGACTTTGGGCCACTCATTCTTTCTCAGCTCAAATCATCCTATGGGGTGGTTGTGGGGAAAATGGGAGAAAAGAGGAGAATTAGATATGTTTGCCACCTTGAGTTATTTATAAAAATAATAAAGGCAAGATTCTCGCTCTCTCTCCCCCCCCCCACAAACAGACCATCTTTAAGCTTGAGTTGTTCTTCCCTCTCCATCTGGTAAGCTTAGCATTAATGTGCCCTGCACATCCAACAATTCATGGATAAGCCTGTTGTGTGAACATTACCAATGTTTTCATTACTATTAAAAGGGAAAGCACTCATATGCAACCCGCTCTTCTTCCACTCAATTAAGCCCAACACCCTCATTACACTACACACAAAGCCCAATCCTTAAAGTAAAATGCCAGTGAACTTATTCTAAGAGTATTATACCCCTTAAATTTGCTCAACAGAGCCGATCATCCCCTTTTGCAAAGTGCTGCCCCGCTCTTTCCAACAGAACCATCCCTATTTTAATGTGGACAAGCAGAAAGACTGCACACACACACACCCCTCAGTTATAGGGGTGAAGTCAAGTAAAACTGGGTCCTTGTGATTCTGCAGCACCCCATTTGGGATCAGCTATTCCCATCTGGGAAGATTTCTCTGTAGTTGATCTGCAAAAGCTGAACCTACTTTTCCATTAATGCTTTTACCTGCCGGATGCCAAGCTTCGGGGCTGCTTTAAAGGGATCAGAACCCACCAGATCCTTTTAATAGGATTGTTCCGAAAAGTGCTCCTGGGCTGATTTTTACAGAAAAAGTCTATTAGTCTTCCTGATTTGACTCCTGTGTAATTTATTTGGCCTTGTTCTGTAGCACAGGCAGGGTCTGAATACAAAGGAGACTAGCTTTAAAAGTCTTGACTAAGTCCATACACAAAAATGAGGCTTGTTCGGAGTTTAGTGTCTCCAGAAAACCCAGAGAAATGGGGACGTTGTAACAGCCCCATCTGTGAAATCTGACAAGGAGAATCAGAGGGTAATTACTACTGCTGATTAATTTCCTCTACGCAATTATTACCAGGTTTAAAATGGGAAGGAAAGTGATAAGGGCCATAAATATGTATATTTAGTTCCTACTGCCCTACAACAGAACAACTGGATGACCTTTGCCAAGCCCAAATGAGGAAAAAGAGTTTTCTGCATGAGGGCTTGGGAAGATTATCATGAAAACGCCAAACAAAAAGGCCCAGAGCTCTGTATGAGCTCTTCCTTTGCAGTCTTGAGTTCAACATCTGTCTCCAGGAAAGGCTTGGGTTGCAAGACACCAGATGTGGCCAAAAATATCTTTTTGTTTCTCCTGGAATGTTAGCAATCCAGTCCTTCGAGGAAAGGCCCCCATTTTAAAGCCACAGCAGCCAGTTCTGACCTAGATCGAATGACAACCTGACGTAGTATAAGGAAGCGACCCACCCCACAAAGTCAACAGCAGATGCAGGATAATCAGTGAAATTAAAATCCTTTACTGCATGTTGTTCAGTGGTGGCGCAGTGGTTAGAATGCGGTACTGCAGGCTAACTCTGCCGACTGCCAGCTGTTCAATTCTGACCAGCTCAAAGCTGGCATAGCTTTCCATCCTTGCGAGGTCGGTAAAATGAGGACCCAGATTGTTGGGGGCAAGACAGTGTTAGTAAGAATTAGCACTGCAAATATTTTAATAGTTGGTATGGCTGATTTAGAGCCAGTTTAGTGCAGTGGTTAAGGCATCCGGTTAGAAAGTGGAAGACTGCTGAGGCCTACTCCTGCTTCAGGCACTGTGACCTTCAGCCAGCCCTTCTCTCTCAGCCCTAGGAAGGAGGCAATGGCAAACCACGTCCGGAAAATCTTGCGAAGAAAACTGCAGGGATTTGTCCAGCTAGTCCAGGGGTAGGCAACCTTGGCTCTTTTACGACTCGTGGACTTCAACTCCCAGAATTCCTGAGCCAGCCATGCTGAGGGGAAAGGGAGAGGTTTCCATGCTGAGCCATGCTGGCTCAGGAATTCTGGGAGTTGAAGTCCACCAGTCATAAAAGAGCCAAGGTTGCCTATCCTTGAGCTAGTTATTAGGAATCAACACTCCAAGGCAAACACAAAAAGGGCTAGCCATCCTCCAGCTTTTATTCTGACTATGTCGACAGAGGACTGATGAAAGCTTAGTAATAAAACAGTTTGTTTTTATATTTACCCCAGAGTTCAGTTTTTTATATTTCTAACATACACACACAAACACACACACATACACACAAACACACACACATACACACATACACACACACACACACACACG